TATTTTTCCTGTGCAGAAGAAGCACACTTGCGTGCAAGTTTTGTTGGCAAGAAAATCATCGCTCTCTACTTGAGCGATGCCAGTTCAGTCACAGTAACAGACATCATTCCCATTTAGTCAAATACAAATTGTCAGTTGGTGTTTATGATGTCAGAAATAAAAAGTGTTTTTACCTTTTTCATACATGTAGGTGGATGATATATTTTGTAATAAGTGCATGTTTGTTAGCATTTTCTAGACAATTCCTTGATGACTAAATTTGACCATTACAAGTAAGGTTTGGGTTGGATGATGTCAAATTGAAATATTTTCAAAGGCTTACACATTTTACACATTGTCAGATCAGGTCAAAGACCACTCTGACCTGTTGATGACTTTATGGTGACCTTTGTATTTGCCTTAAAGGGTTATAACCATATTTTCAGGCAGAATAGCACTATCATCAGGATATGGTATATTTGTCGTATTATACAGGGTAGGATTTTCACGGCGGCCATGACGGCCATGGCCGTGGTAGCCCCTCGGTCTGGCCGTTATGCCCCACAAATAATTGTACGTCCTACGGCCACCATGGCCTGTGTGCCCCTCACACTGTTAAAATCTCGAAGTTGCTTTAAAAGCGTCAGAACAGTGTTTTCTGAACTGCATTATGCTGCGTTCACAAAGGACGCGATGCGAATATTCTCATCGCTCTAACCGCTGGAGTTTCACCGTGGCTGTCAGCTGTGTTTACTCCTGTCATTCAAACAGGACGCGCTGGAGAGGGGGCGGGGCTTATTTCAATGTAAATACTGTGGTGGAAACTACTACAAAATGAACCTATTTTACAGTGATTTAATTGTAATACACGTTTCAGAATGATGCTGAAGTAACTACATACTGATACCGGTTAGTAAAAAACATGAATAAATGCTTTGCCAAGTCTGCAGACAAGACGGCAGGCGAAAAACCTTTTAAAATGCGTGTTTTCTGAATGGATCAATCAGGCTAAATGAACCTGTAGCTGCTCCGCCCACACTCACAACAACGTCCTAAAGACAGAATTAAAGCAGCAATTGTATTCGCCATGACATTTTGTGGTTTGTACATGTTACATGTTTAACTTTTGACACACACACACACACACACACACACACACACACACACACACACACACACACACACACACACACACACACACACACACACACACACACACAGCTGAATTATGTATGTGCAGAGTTTGACCCTTGAAGGCTGTTTCTTCTGCTCTGAAATTGGATATATTTGTTACATATGCATATAATTTTTGATTTTTTGATTTGTTTGTGAATGGGAGAAGTAGTAGATGGAAAACATACCAAACACTAATTATTCAAAGTAAAGTATTTTATTTTATATACGGCATATGCTAAGGAGGCATAGGCCTATATGATAATATAATGTTTGACATTATTGATATTAAAACAGTGATTTGTTTTCCATGTCATTCGTGTGTTTTTCTTATCAAAAAGTGAAGTTATTTATTTGTAAGCTCCAAATCCAAATGTTTCCCTCAATGGCCTTTGTGCCCTGGCATGTGGCCTTTGCGTCCTGAAAAAATGGCCTTGCCCCTAAAATGAAGAAATTCCAAGCCTGGTCGTATATATAGTTCAAATAAGAGCTTTCCATGAGGGGTACATGCATTGAGTGCCTCACCTCTATCCTTATTAAAAAAACAATGCTATGTCATTTTTGGCAAATTGCATCTTCTAGTCTTGGTAAAGTAATGATGAAATGCATTCCTGCACCTGCAGTCATCACAAGCTTCCTGAAAGTTATAAGTCTCTACTTGTGACCCAGAGGCTTTTCAGTTTTCTTTTAGATTTTTTGATCGTCAGATGTTTTCGATTAAAACAAAAATGAAATGCTTTTTCCGATGAAGGCAGTGAAGCACTATCTACTTCAGCTCATACCTGACCTATTTATTTCCTCTCGGTATGATCGACGCCTGTGAGAGATGCCTCAGAGACTTCTCTGATAGAACAGCCTGGATTGAAGCGTGTTGCTAATCTGCAAGCTTTGCCTGAACTATTCAACTGTCATATTTTTAGATCAAAGGGAAAAATCCCTAATGTTCTGCCTCAGTGTCCTTCTGCTCTTCTGTCTGCTTCCCCTGGGTTTATTTTGAGAGTTGTTAACAATCCAAGTAATTTTTTTGGAATCTCGTGGAGCAATCGGCACGTTACTGGCTGGGGCTTTACGAAATGATGCTGTACACATATTGTAATTTTAAGGGTGTCTATTACCATCTGGCCGGGGACAACAGCTGGAAATTAGCCATGTCGGCTAAAGCTGCACCATTTACTGTTTTTGTGACAGTTCATCGATGGGGACTGTCCACAACACTATAAATAAACTAAACTAAACTAAACATAAAAGAGCACAGTGTACCGGGTAGAGTTAAGTGAAAGTCTTTTGTGTCGTCACAGCATGAGTCTATGTGTTGGAATGGTGCACACGCTCACACACTTAACCTGGAAAGCAGCCAGCACCTCTCTTTGTGCCGGTCTACTCAGCTGTCGAAGGCAAGGTCCGTCGGAGTCAGATGGCTCAATTACGGGCTACCCGACCAATCTTGCCTCGGGATCAGAGGGTATCTCTGTCTTACACACTGTAACAAAGGCTTTGCCCTGCTTGCTCTGTTTGGACAAGACCCATCGACCATCATTGGCCTCTGGGGATAACCCCAGCATCACCAAGGACATGCTACTTTGTAGAGCAGAGGATGTGGAAGCTGACTATAATGCCAGGACCCTCTCATTCATTAGACATTAACCAGGTGATGTTTATTGTTGTCAATATTGTGACCCTACTGAATTGAATGATCATAAATAATGAGGGCTGCAGCTCAAGTTCTTATTGATTGTCTTTTTCAATGTAATAATCATTGTTTTAAATATCAGAAAAACTGTTCTCAAGATTCTTCCAAGTTGCCATTTTTCCATAATCAAGAGCCCAAAAATATAACAATTACAATGATATAATAAGCTATAAATGCTCAAATTGGAGCTCACTATCATGGGAAACAAATTAATTAGAACATTCTGTCAACTGACTAATTGTTTTGGCACTAAACTCATTAATCCTATTGTTAATTATTTAAATATAAAGTGAATGCATGCGTTGGAGTGATAACAGTCTCCCACAACGTATAGCCTGGATAACCCTTTCTGCAGTAAATAAAGGATGTCAAATCTGCCACCTGATATATCTGAATATTCTGAAGAGATTTCAAATGTCTTGAACACTTTGTCCATTAAAATGGATGAGTCTGACAGGCAGCTGCTGCTCTCCCCTGTGAGATTATAAATAGGCTCTACTAACCCAAAAATAATTGAAAACAATTAATATATTCAGCCCCTGAAAGGAAAAAATGATTTGCAGTTCTAAAGGACTATGATGTTAAATGAATTGGCTAGTGTTATTTCTGCACAATAATAATAATAATAATAATAATACATTACATTTATAAAGCACTTTTCCTGGTGCTCAAAGCGCTTACAAGCAAGTAAAACAAAAATAACAACAAAAGTAGAAAGTGCTAAGCTAGGAGGAATATGTGTTCAAAGGTCTCATAAGTCACTGTCATTCAGTTTTGTTTTCATTTCAAAATTTTCAAGCAAACTTTTTTTGCATAAGTTGATAGTGTCTTAGATGTCCAATGCTATCTAAGATTAAGGCTAATAGTGTCTACGTCATTTAAATGTATAGCACTCCCCAAAAGAGCTCGTTGGGCATCAGCTTTGAAAACAATGCTATTTGTTTTTAAAGACCCTTGCCTAGACCACTCTTTACGCCCCATTTCACTGTGGACACTCTTTTTGCTTAAGTATCTTTATGCGGTTTAGGGTCCTGGGCTTTCAAAAGTTGAGGTTCATGATTAAGCAGCTTATGTCAACTGAGGTCCCCCATTCCTTCTGGTTTTCCTTCTGTTTCCTTATTATGTTGACCCCCCACCCACCCCACCCCACCCTGCTGCTCAGCTCTATCAGCCAAGTGTGAGACTTTAGGCTTGCGTTTCTGGCTGCACCGCCAGCTAATCTATATGCTAATGAGAAGATAATAATCAATGAGGTTCATGCATGGTTGGCCCCAATCAATACCACATTGCACCAGCAAACGATTCAAATGGCTACATCTGAATTTCTACTCTTATTCATTTGCATTTAATTTCCGTACGTGAAATAAATGGGTGGTTTGATGCTTTCCTGTTGCGACATGGCTATCCCATCATCGAGTCAGATTTGTATCATTAGTTAGGATTTGGCTTAAATGGTGCTGATTAGGCAGGATAAGGAAACATTTGGTTAAAGATGTAGTTGACCAGTACTTAACGGGCAGACACTGGGTAGTGGGCGTCATGATGGACCGCAATTCCTTTTTATTTTTTGCTCTCTAGCCTCAGTATCAGTCTTGTCACAAAATTGATGATGATTACTGTCTTTCTGGTCCGATAATTGGTTGAATGTTCAGGCTGGCCATAAGTCACTTCTCCTGTCCTTCGCCAAATGTTGTGATAAAAAATTGTCCCACTTACCGCTGCTGGTTATTTGTGAAAACAGTGCTCTCTATATTAATGGTTTAAAACCCAATCTTCAGACCCTCAAATTTGAGGCACTAAAATGGATACAGAGCCTTCAGTTTCACAAAAAAAGAGTCTGTGCTGTAATGTCTATGAAGTGCCTCATTATCTGGGATTTTACTTAAAAAAAAATAAAAACACATTTAGATGGTGTTTACATTCTACCTTATGTTGTAGGGTCCAAGCATCCTTTAAAAAAAATCAGTATTCAGGCAGAGGGGGAGGGGAAAGACTGAGTAAATCATTACCATCATCTTCATTAGAGAGGATCCTGCCGTCCAATCAGCACGCTGCTCTGGACGGGGATTCCATAGGCACCCCGTTGGCTGTCGCTAGGATACCACATAATCAGGAGGCAGGCCGCGGCCTGGTTGGTGGAGTGGGGTGTTGAAGCTGGGACGACGAGCTCGCTGTGCGTTGGGGGTAGAAGACGAGAGGTGCTGGGGTTCGGATCCGACACACTCGCACACGCTCATTCAGTCCGTCAGCCAGCCAGACACTCAGTCAGGCAGACAAAGAGGAGCAGCATCCGGCAGGAGGACAGCACGCTCCCGGGGGATGGGGCATCATACCCCTGCATCGCGTCGGGGGGGCCGGAGGAGGTAGGAGCACCAGGGTTAGGGGGCTTTGTCTCAGCAGCAAAGCACCCCTCCACAAACACATGCAAGCATACATTTCTCTCCTTGCTATTAAAGCATCAATAGATTTGTGCACCTTTCTAGCGTTGTTTTTTTCATGTGGGTCATCAGAGTTATCCTATATGCGTACTGAGGGAGGAACACTGATGGATGCACTTCCTCTAAGCGCTGTAGAGACAGCCAGTCTGTCTGACAGTCTCATAACAGCTCTCATCTTCCTGCAGGCGATGCAAAACCTCTAGACACAAATCTGACTGTCAGTTGTTGCGGTCTTGTGAAGCCACTATGAGTAGGTCAATATGCTTTTTGTAAGGAGTGCAAATGTGTTGTTATGGTGCTGACTGAGCGACTGTTTCAAATGTATAACGGGCTGCTTTGATGTACTCACACACACATTGGCGTTGGGTACCAGGTTTTTCCAGGTCAAAGCTTGATTAAATTCGTGGAAGTGGGGTTAAGGTTTGGAGTGGGGGTGGTGTTGTTTTCGCCATTGCACCTCTTCACTGATGGATGGGTGACTCCTCTCAGAAAGACAGGCAGTGAAGGCATCATTACCAGAGGGGATTCCCTCCCCTCTCCACACACATGAAGAGGCAATGGGAAGCAGACAGTGGGATGTAGGCTAATGACGGCAAACAGGCAGGCTTTGGCAGTGCTTTGTTAACAACCAGAAAGCAGGTCAGCTATATTCAGTTATATGGACAAGACTTTTTCAAATTCACTGCAGAATGCAAAATTGTAATTTTATTATTGTTTTTTGTTTTTTATATCAAAATTAAATGTCCGTTAATTGGGTCTTCATTTGAGTTTTTTTATTTAAATCGTCCTCATTTCATTTGAATGACCCTGAAATTTATTTCTTAGAGAAGGGTGTTGACAAGATTTTTTCTGTTGGACTAATTTCCTAATTGGCTATTCATGATCATCTCAAGTTTTCATTAATAGAACATACAATTCTTTCAACTCCAGCCTTTTCCTCATTCAGTGACTAGGGCTTTAAATTGAAAGGAAAGCATATGTTTTTGTAAGATTGCAGTTTGTTTCCAAGTGTGCTTTGTTGCATAAGTGGGGCTAAAGAGCTCTGTTGTGGCCCCTAATCCGCTCAAAGGAATAATGAGAAGGAGGAGGAGGAAATAGCTTAAGAATTGCAGCATGGCGGCAGCATGGCGGCAGCATAGCTCCTTATTTAATTACTTCCATCACACTCTCGTTTCCACTCCAACCCATTTCAAATCCTCAACCTTCACCCCTCACTCTCGTTCCCTTCCTGCCTCCCCCCTATATCTTAATGCTCACACCTCTAACCCCAAGGCTAGAAATTCCATCCTCCCTGTTTGCCCTCTCTTTTCAGCTCTGTTACATCAGCTGTCATGCTGTTTGAATCCCCCTCCACATACACACACACTCATTAATCCCACATCATCCTCTCTAGTAAACCACTACCATCTCAAGTCTGCCTGTTTCCATTGGAGCTCTGCTTCCTCAAAGACTTCTGGACTTTCTTTACATTCTTAAAATGTCATCTTTGCCTCCACTAAGGAATGAGCCTGTCTCTCCTCCCATCCTCTTCCAAACTCATCACCTTTCAAGCTGGAGCCTTCTCCGTCTTCTCTGTCTGGGGAGCTCTGAAGCGTTTCCTCTTGTGCTAATGGATAGCTGTGCACCAGGGGACCAACCTTGAGAAGGCTTTTAAGGACAGGTCCTTAATCATGTGTTCTGTTCTCCTCCACGCTCATGAGAAGAAATTGAAGCCTTAGACAGTGTATGTCATATAGTATGGTTTGACATTATGTCTTTTGTATTGGCAATTTTCTGATCAAGGCCAATACTTTTTTTTTTAATGTATCATGGTTAGGAGCGTTTCGGTTGGAGTGTTTGCGAAGGAGTTTGAGTCATTATAACTGCCTCTGCTGCCTTCTAATTAACTTGCACCGAATGCGTCTTTTCATCTTGTATATGTGAAACTCTCAAACATACGGAGACCGCTAATGTAAGCCAGCCACTCTGCCTTTCATGCTAATTCACTGGAAATCATGAGCTTCCCAGATTGCATTTTTGTGCGTTTCTCTAGCCAGCTTTGTTGTGTCATGCATGCCTCTCTTTTTTAGTTTTTGGAGAATGAATCCATACACTGTGTGTAGAGTTTAAAAACATAGCTACTTCCAGTAGTCAAGGGACAATACTGGAATGTATTCGTAGAGGCTCCTTTTAAATGTAATACTAACTCCAGTAACACATTTGTGCATGAAAATAAACAGACTTCAGAAGAATCATTTATTTCCCAGCTGGCTCTCATCCTGCTGCACATTTGTACAATGCAGAACATGCTGTTGTGTTTACTGCTCTAAGTCCAGCTGCAGTCGATGGCAAACCAGTATATGGAAATAGAATTGTGGATTAATCAAGTATATTAGACTTCAGGGCTTGTGAACTCGTATCAAGTGGTTTCATTGAAGCTGCAACGATAAATAAAATGGTTAATAAGCTGATCATGTTGAGCGGTGACAAACGGCATTCTTTTATTTTTGTTATATATTTTATAGACAATAAATTTAATCCATCAATTGGGAAAATAGCTCGCAGATCAACTGATAATAAAACTTGCTCTTAGTTGCAGCCCTTTACTCCCCTTATGATCACATTTTTTTATTGTTGTTTTTTATTGAAGAAAGACATTCTGTTTTTTTTAACTTAGTTACAAAGAAAATGTTGCATGTTCTCATGTGCTCTGCCTTTCCCCTGTCCCCAGGCACAGGAGAGCCATTCAGAAGAGTCGGGGGTCAAAGGTGAGAAGAGCAGAGGGTACCATGGAGAGTGAGCCGGGGGCCCCTGCCCCCACGGCCAACAGCACCGCCACCGCCACCGCCACCGCCTCCACCTCCTCCAGCACCACAGCTGCCAGCAGCAGTAGTACCTCTAACACTACTGCTACTACTTCTACCACTCCCCCCAGCAGTAGTAGTAGTAACACAAACAGTAGTGCCAGTAGTAGTACTGCAGCAGGGAGGCAGGCGGTGCCTCAGATATCTGTTTACAGTGGGATACCCGACCGGCAAACAGTGCAGGTGAGTTCCTTAGTGTTGAGATGAAATTGTTGACGGCTTGATATTCAGTCAGGATTCTGTATGAAGGGCTGACGAAGTGAAAATTTCCATCCCAGTTTCTTAAAGTCCAAAGTTAAAATGTTTTCAATCTTATATGAGAATAAACAGAAAAGCAGAACATGTCCTTATTTTTTATGCAAAGGAAACTGTTTCTTCTTATGAAACATCACATGAAACATTAATGGATCATCAAAATAGTTGCTCACTAGTCCTAATTAGTCGCAGCTTATATTGTGTGTGACATCTGCATACACATAAAGAGGTGATCATACTTTTCTTTGCATTACTGCCCTCTGTTGGTGTGTATTACACCACATACACCACATACATGTCAACACATCATTTTCTAATCAGAATGAAATAAGAGTCATTTGTCATCCTAATCAATACACTGATAAAGGAAACTGAAATGACGGCCATCTCACAGAACTCTTCAGGTTAAAGGAATTCTTTGTGCTTTGTGCTCTTGAACCTTTGACCCCGGGATAATCCTCTACAAAGGCTTACCCTCTCCCTGAATAAGGTCCACCCAAGCTTTTAGTGCTGATGCTCTGACAGCTAGGTTTTTGTTATATTCAGTGGGCCTTTACGTGTACTCAGACCGGTGACAATCATGGCAAACAGCATTCTCTGAGCGGAAAGGGGCTGCTGCTCCTTTAAAGCAAATGAGTGTTGTCTCGCATCTCTGCTACCAATTTCACCCCCATTTCAAGAGGTGTGTGTCCGGATGCGTCTTTGACACTATGGACCTCAAGTCAACATCCTCTTTGGTTACTTGGCAACAAGGAAGAGGGTACTTTCAGAGGTGAAGGGCAAAGAGTTATTCTCAATGGATGGAGGTTTAACTGTTATAATCGGGTCAAGGCGTAGATGAGACTTTTCTTGAAGACAATTATTCGGTGACACTATGACCTAAAAAATAAAAATTCCTCAGAACACAATTAGCTTTGAAGTTTTTTTTTCCTAACATGTTTTCAAGGTTAGGATTTAGCTTGAATTAAAAATATCCTCCTTGCAAAAAAGTTCGATTTCCCACATAATCTTTTTTGAGGTTGAATTTATAATAAATATTTGAAGGCTTTGAGAGCATATATGTTTTGTTTAGGTTCCTTTTTAAAAGTGATTGACTTTCACTTTTAAAGTTGTTTAAACCGTGTATATAAGCACATTGATTTGGAAAGATGAGATAATAAACTCAACCAATTATTTGACTTCCATTTTCTACTATAATGTTTTGTTTACACCCGGACTGAATTTTATATATCCTAACTTTTTTTCAACATTACTGAACTAACCATACCTGATTCAAGATTCAAGATATTAGATTGTCATACGTACAGTATAACAGGCAATTGCACTGTTCAGTGAAATTCTTACGCTTAGCTCTCCACACCTAAATATTAAGAAACTATACATACCACCAAACGTACAAGATAAAAACTAGCATTGAAAATGATAAACTGACATACATTTAACAATTCCTCTCTCAGAATAAAAGTGTGTGATGTGCTGCATGATAAAACAAAAAATCTATCTGTCTATCTTTTATATGCAGGTGTTCCAGCAGGCGCTACACAGACAGCCTAACACAGCAGCACAGTACCTGCAGCAGATGTACGCGGCTCAGCAGCAGCATCTGATGTTACAGACCGCTGCCCTCCAGCAGCAGCACAACCTCAGCACTGCTCAGCTGCAGAGCCTGGCTGCTGTCCAGCAGGTCAGCCAGCGCTCATCACTTGAAAGAATCAATGTCACAGTGTAAAGCTGATGCTGTTATTGTTGCCCTCCCTCAAGACATGTTTCAGGAAATGGTACATTTCTCTTTTCTCTCTCTCTCTCTCTCTCTCTCTCTCTCTCTCTCTCTCTCTCTCTCTCTCTCTCTCTCTCTCTCTCTCTCTCTCTCTCTTTCTCTCTTTCTCTCTTTCTCTTGCTGTGTAATAGGCCAGTATCGCTGCTGGCCGGCAAAGCTCTTCACAGAACGGCACTTCATCCCAGCAAACAGGAACAACTCAAGCTACGGTAAGAGTTCAGAGTTGGACCTGTCTCCTAAGAGCCTCGAGAGTTTAAGTTATCTCGGTCCATTAAATTATCATGGAATAAAATTGATTTTGGCACCAAGAAGCTTTAAGGGAACTTTGCGCCACACCAGCCATGTGAGCTGTGCTTACTTTTCTATTGCATTTATTATTTGTTGTAAGAATGTTCAGAAACTCAAGATCTTGTATTTTGTATGTCTTGGTCGAATGTAATTGGTGTATTGATTTAGATATCAGTAGAGTAAAGGAAGTGCATAATATTGTTTACTTTGTTGACTATGATTAATTAAGTTTGTCAACAACCTTTTTCTCCATGACTAGGACGAGGCAGTAGCGACTTTATTAATCACTACCTGTGACTATATTAACATAAATATTGTTGACAAAAAAAAGGCAAGACTTAAATGTGGTTTTTAAAAAAGATAATCATTGACACAAAAAGGACATCAAATGTTATAAACTGTTTGTTTTTATCAATGCAGCAGTTCCATTTCCTGTGTTGCGTGCCCGATATCAGGACTACACCAGCAGCACACCTTAAGAAAAGAGTAATTAACTTACTTAAGTTTAACTTAACAATGATATCAACAGAGTTCGGCGAAAATAACTGTGTAATTTTGGCTAGACTTGATTGACTGAAATGTTTAAAGGTGGGGTATGTAATTTATTTCAGAAACACTTTTTGTTATATTCCATGGAATGCTCTTAACATCCCGATAGCAATGAATATATTAAATGCTTTGACAATAAATACATAAAAAATGTCATCTGTGGAGGCCCGTGGCAGCTGTCTATTTGTAAAAAGCCCGACCAATCATTGTAGCCGGCCGGGCTAAAATAACTTTCAGCCTTCCATCTGTGCACAAACTTATCTCGTGCTCTCATTGGTCATGTGCGCGTTCCTGTGTGTTGGAGGAGGGGCTCTGTAAGGAAGTGGCAGATTTTTTCCGGCTGTGTATTTTAAAATTCTAGCGCACTCGAGCTGGTTTCTCCAAAATTACCGACCCCACCTTTAATATAAAATTGACACAAAAAAAACTAAAACTCAATTTTGATTGACTGAAACTATATTAACATTTACGGTTTTCTTTTTAATGACTAAGCTAGGAGTGAAATGACAATACTTTGAATCAACTTAAATAAAACAGCATGAGTTTGACTAAGGACATTTAACACACGACTAAGACTAAGTAACAACTGGTAAAACTGACACTACTGTATGACCTAATTATCCTGTTCATATTCTCCCTTCAGATCAACCTGACCACCTCCCCGGCAGCAGCGCAGCTCATCAGCAGGGCCCAGAGCATAAGCTCCACCCCCACCAGTATTTCCCAGCAGGCTGTTCTACTGGGCAGCCCATCCAGCCCCACGCTCACAGCCAGCCAGGCACAGATGTACCTGCGTGCACAGATGGTGAGACTGCAAACTCGCGGGGCATAGCCACTGGTACAGTCATGAGTGTGCATATATGCATAAACACAACCCCACACACATAGGCCTACCGCTTAAATAAATAAGCACTATCCAGCTCGTGTTTTCTTCCTTCTGTGTGTTTTAGGATTGGTGTGTGTTGTGCATTTATGCTTATTCTGCAGTAGTTAGTGCTTGATTTACATTATTCCACCAGAGAAGGTTGCCAAGATAATCTATCAGGCCCCAGAGGACTCATTACAAGCACAGAAGAGACTGTGTGTGCATGTTTAAAAATGTTTTGGATGTCACAGGTGTTCTCTATGCTTTGGCTGCAGGATCACTTGTTTTAAATTAAAGTTGCTGAAGCATTATTCAGTCGTTATTGGCCTGTTTAGAAGCTGGTTGTGGGTAACTTGTCGTTTTTAACTTGCTGGCATCTGGCACATAATCTGTTTCTGCTTCCTCATTATGACCAAGTACACAGCATTGTCAGATGTGTTTGATGCTGCAGGCAGACATAAAAAACACATTTGTCAGTTTAGATAACCATCGCTTTAATTTCTGGTTGAGTCTTCTGGTGTTAAATTAGTGCATATGATTTAATATCAAGCCCGATTGTATTCATTTCCATTTTCCTTGCTTGTTTTCCCACACATACAAACATTAGAAGTTCAAAACAGTGTTACTACAAAATCCATCTAACTGAATAAACGTTTTCTTATTTTGTTAAAAAATACAATTCTGTCAAGAAAGAGATACAAATCTTGGCACATTCTCTTCTAAGCAGATGAAAAGGGTCCTTTAGCTTAATCATATTTAATTGTGTGCCTGAGGGTCATCATAGTCATCTTTACTCTCTCTTAATGCCCTTCTAGATCTGATGAGTTTGTTCTCTGGCTACTTTCAGTACTTTATTAAAGATTAGTGAAGAATCCAATCCCATAGGCATTTTCTGACTCATGCAGTTCTTCTTCCCTATATGTGATGCTTTAGGCCCAGCAGAGTAACCTGGTGCAGGTGGCCCGGAGTCTGGGCCGGGCGGTTCCTCTGTCCCCGCAGCTCATCTTCACTCCAACTGCCACAGTGACGGCTGTCCAGTCAGAGAGCTCCTTGCAGGCCTCCTCACAGGTACATCCATTAGAAAACACTTTGACACTAAAAATAAACGCTAAATTGCTGGACTTTGTCACTTAAAGTTTAAATCGCAGCTGGAATCCTGCACTAAACTATGTGATATGACAATATTTAACAAATATTTGTACTTGCTGTACTGGTCTGTTAGAAGAAGAATAACTTTATTAAAAAAACATATATATTTTTTACATTACACACCCATAGTTCATACACATGAACACATGCACAAACAGGACTACATGCAGGATAGGAGAGGTGGCAGAGCGAAGGGGCTGCCAGTCGTCTGGTGCCCGAAGCAGTTAGTGGTTCAGAGCCTTGCTCAAGGCAGTGCTAAGGAAGTGAATTGGCACCTCTCCAGCTACCACTCCACACTCCGTATTTTGGTACAATCGGGAAGTGAACCGGCGACCCTTCGGTTACCGAGCCAAATCCCTACAGACTGAGCTACTGCCTCCCCATAGAATGTTTAATCAGACCATTCTTCATTGGTTTGCAAAAGAGCACATGAATAAAAATACTGATAATATCTTGCCTCCAATCCACTCTGTGAATCTGTTTATCAATCATTTCCCATCATTTTGTCTTTCTAAGAATCAGGTCCAGAATCTAGCTATCCGTGGCCAGCAGGGGGCGACCACGTCCTGCTCTCACACTCAGACCCTGCAGGCTCTCAGTCTGAAGCAGAGCCCCGTTCCCATCCAGCCGGCCAATCTGAAGAATCCCAGCCAAGTACCGCAGGCCTCCACAGGAGCAAAGGCCGGCTCCTCTGACAGTTCATCTGAAGCTGGGAAGAAGGGGGACAACTCAGAACCCCGAGCTATCAACATGAGCCGCAACGTCACATCTATCAGCGCTCAGCCACTGATTTCTCCAGGTAAGTGGAGTCTGCAACCCAACTGCCTGCACAGTTCAAATAAGGTTAAAGTCTGACCGGTGCATGCCTTGTAACAGTAAAATGGATCCAAGCAGGGCTTACAGCAAGGCCACATGGAAATAATCGTTCTCACAAAGGCATTAAGAGTTTGGTCTAAGGGTCAATAAAGGAAACTAGCAATTGATTAGAGAGTGCAAACAATGAGTCAGTTAATCAAGTATTACTTTTGATAGCAGAATTAAGGATAGAACATTTGGGCCGACCACCAAAATATCTCAACAACTAATGGATTGATTATCATTACATTTTATAGACATTTTTGGACAACAGACAAAGAATTGTTTTGATTGACAGTCCCTTTTATTTTACTTGAAGTGCACTAGCAGGTCAAACTGTCAACCTATCCTGTTAAATATCTCAACATGCAATCAAAGACAATCCAGACTTTCCTTTTCAACCAAATACCTGCAAAATAAACAACATTCCCATCAGCCTCAGCTGCACCTTGTTGCTAATTAGCAAATACAAATTACATGCTACATTTAAACGTGAATAAACTGAACTTTATACCTGCATAAATCAACATGAAAGGATTGTAGAAGTGAGTATGTTGCCATAATGATGTTAGCGTTAGTTTCACCTCACAGAGCTGCTAGCATGGCTGCTAACTCTTGGTACAGTGTGTATGATAAATATAGACGGTCTGCTATTTTTTTTAGAGGCTTTGTGTTATTCCGATTCACTGACACTTGATATTCCATAGGATTTCTTTTTTCTCTCCTTTATGTTAAACTGGCAAATTGTCTGTCAGCTGCTGTGTGCTTCTCTTTTGAAACAGATGTCCATCTCAAACCTTGAAACAGACTTGGGACTTCAGGCAGCTGTCATCTGTACAGCAGAAATGTGTTCCTGTGGTTATAGCAAGACTAGATGAGAAATTAGTTTTTACACTTTGCCCTGATAATATCTCTGGCTGTGAGTGTGACATGTCAGAGCCTGCATCACGATCCCATTCTCTCACTGAAGGGGTGAAACCAGCCGTGATAAATAAAATGTGTTGGGCTGTGTCTGGAACAGTCGAGCTGCTTTGTGATTTGGAAGCTGTAAAAGGCACAGTGCCACGCAAGAGTCTTTCTAAATCACTTTGAATGTCAGCAGCTGTTTTTTTGTATTTAGTGTGAATGATTGTGAGTATGCCAGCAGTACAAGCTGATTAAATCCAATCTGGACCAGTTTGTTTGCAAGATAAGCAAAGCATTATCACATTTTCAAGAGGCTCCTGATAAGACATCACATTTCACAGAATTTAGGCAAAAAATATATGTAAGTCAATGTACATGCGCTGGGAGTAGTAACTGTGTTCACCCCTAGAAATAATGTTGCTTTTATGTGTGTGTGTGTAGTGTATGTTGTGGGGCGTGTGTTTATGTATGTGTGTGTGTGCAAGGAAGGGAGGGGGCGTTGGGGTTATGTGAGCGTGTCAGTGCACAACTGTGTCATGCTTTGTTGCAGTAATGGATTCGCATCAAATGAAAGGGAGGATGGAGGCTGCAAATCTGGCTGCATGCTGTCTGGAGAAATTAACATGGGTTGCCATAGCAGCAGGCCATGAGGGACAGGTGTGCACATGAGATGCAAGGAGTTAGTACACTGCGCGTGAGGCTGTGTGTCTGCCTGATGGGAGGATTCAGTATTAAAGCCCGGATTCAACCTGACAGTGACTCGGTCATTATGCACTTTATTTGCAATGTTGTATCAGGGGAAGGCTTTTCTACTGACATGCCACTGTCTCTTGTAAATCCAAAATGTCAACAACTGCTTTTATGGTTGATGTTTAGTGTCTTGTTATGGCCAATAGATAGGGATATAAACAATAACTTGCTGCAGGAAACCAGTTCTCTTAAAAGGAGCATAATTGTTACATGTAATACTAGAAAGGCACTCCAAGAGACATTGGCAGAGCCCATGCCCTGTCTTGCAATGTTAATAAAAGTAAAAAATCGATCCACCATGTAAATGGATCATTTGTGGATCATACTACACCCCTCCACCAAATGTTGTTACAATCAGACCACTGACAGACAAACAAACCAAACTGAGAACATAACCTCCTGGGCACAGTGTATTAATGTGTCAACAATTAATTTATAAACACAATTCATCATTTTTTTTTTCTCTTAACCTAAACTGGTTGTGCTCGGCTCACTTTTATTGGTTTAAATGTTTACCAAGCCTTCATTACCAGCATAAACAGTCTAACAAATGACAACCTCCTCACTGGCTGTTTCATGTGAATTTGTTTCGCAAAAAAGATAGCACTTTAACAAGTTTAACAAATAAAATGACAAAATAATATCTTTATAATTAAAAAACTAAGCAATGTTATTGTGAAAACTATCATGAATCAAACACATCTTTACTTTATCAGGGTTGAACTTGACTCTGCAGAAATCATTCTGGTCTGATCTGAGAGAACAAAAGAAACAGAAGAGGTGTGACTCATTTTGTTTTGCTATTTTTGCTCATCAATGTTTTGGCAGACCATTTTAGAGCATTATCTCTGATACTGTGAACATTACCATCATTAAGAGTCGGTCCCCTGACTAGGATTTGGACTGGAAACAAATGTTGCAGTAAGTGTTTGTCATCGCCTCCTCTTGGCACTAAAGATTCAGCACCTTATTATAAAAAAACACAGCATGAAACCCCCCAAAGCACCATGCTGGCAGATTAAAACAACAGATATGCACACAAAATCTGACTTGGCATAATTATGTAGCTGCTAGCAACAGAAGCAGTTGCCAGTTTCACTTGAAAAGGATTATCAAGAAATAAGAAGGAAAACCACTTAAAATGTATAACAGCTTCCTTTCTTCTCTCTTATCTTGTCTAATAACACTGACATCCAACGTTTCCTTTATTGATCTGAAAATCTAGCCTCACTGGAATGAATACTGAGGTGTCGTTTGGTTTTCTCCCTGAGAGCCTGCCAATGTGTTTTGACATTAACGTGAGACGGCAACAGTTTTTTGTCTGAAACTGTGGAGTGTTGAAACCAAACAGGAACTGGATTCATTTAGGAATTGAGTTCTTTTGATGATGATCTGTATTAGTGAGGAAAGATGGTGTAAAGCCTGCTGCTGCTCTGTTGTTTTAGGTCGGAATTTGTTTCATGAGTGAAAGCCAGAGTGGCAGTCGGTGAGAAAGTGGAAACTCAGGGATTTTCCAGGGCCTGGTTCTACAAACCCATCAGGGACGTTAACTGTCCTCCATCGCAGGACATTGTGCAACAACATGCGGATAGAGTAGGAGGTGTATGGGGTGTGGAGCCCACTGCCACATACTGAATTTTGTATGAGTGCGTGTGTGTGGGTGTGGGGGGGGGGGGGTGGATAGGTCATTCCAGTCCTTAACTCCAAGACCTTGAGGGGGAAAGGCATCTAAAGAAATTCCCCTGTGTTCCTCTTCTTCCAAGACTTCTCTCTGTTCCTCATTAGGGGCTTGAGAACGTTGTCAGGATACACAGGGAGGGCTGGTGGTTTCCGTTGTGTGATGATTCAGAAATCCCCCTCCTATCATTAACAAATGCTGGAATCTGTTGCTACCATATGATTCTGTGAGATCTTGATCGAAAGTGCTACTATTCATTTCTTAACTGTTCGAGATGCATTTTGAATCATGTGTAGGTGGTTGGTTTTTGTAGTTTCTTTCTTTTCTTATTTTATTGCCATATTTTCTAGCAGATAATCATTAAGGTCAGGTTAGTGCTTTTATTACCTTTTTTAATCGTAAAGTGTAAGTTGCTGCAGTTGGAGTATTTTGTATTTTCAGTGACAGAATATTAGATAATAATAGATTCTTTGTTGTTCTGAGTTCTTTCTCATGCCCTATTGTCATGAGTAATGCCATTTTCCCATGGTTTTTATTATCTATTAAATAGTTTCCAGTTTGTCTGTTTTTTTTATAAATGTAAAAAGAAAATGTGAAAAGCTTAAATTACCCCCCCAGAGAGCCCAAACGGACATCCTGTTTTATCTGAACCAAAAGTCAAAAACATTTCTTAACTATTAAATTATTGAAGTTATTATGGTAAATGTGTTTTGCTATTTTCACTTAAAAAAAGGATGATTTTTTTTTTTTTAATTATACAACAAATATTTTTTGAAAACTTAGTTTTCTGTTGGTCAACTTATCCATTGATGGTCTAATCATCCCAGATCAGGGCTCCTATCATGTTATTGTTTCTCTTCATCTTTAAAGGTCCCATGTCATGCTTTTCTGGTTATTACCAGTCCCCTTGTGTGTTATGAAGCTTTTTCTGCATGTAAACGGTCTGCAGAGTCACAAACCCTCAAAGTACACCCTGTAGCGAGTAAAACTCTAACACAGAAAAGACCTGTCTATGCTGCCCCAGAACGCCTCGTGGGAGATTTCTCTTTTACCATTATTTTCTTCCTGGTCATAGTGATGTAACGCTGCGGAGCTCAGCACGCACGCACGCACGCACGCACTCACACTCACTCACACTCAGCCTTATCTTTTCTCAGCCGCGGTGCTAGGCGGAGCTCCATACACACACACTCGGAGCTCAGGTTGTGAGTGTGTGTTTATGCAGGCTGAGTTCCGCGGTGTCTCACTGTCTCGCAGACCCCACGCAGCAACCAGGAAACTACACCAGTAATCCAGCTCACACTGTCCGCTCCTCGAGCCTCAAAGGGCGGAGCAGCGAGCCCACAACGTCCCGCCAACACGGCACCCAGACCCCACGCAGCATTCTCTGTTTGTCATTACTGGTGTCATTTTCTGGTTGCTAACAAACGCCATTGTAACACATAATCACTGATGTCCAGCTGTAACGGTGGTGGACTCATCAGCACAGAGTCGGCGAGCTGACCAATCAGAGCACAGTGGGCTCATAGGGTGGGGGGGCAGGAGCTCCAACAAGGCGTGTAGGACAGAGAGTGAATACACATACTATACAGAGATGCTGTATGAGAAACCAATGTGAGTTTGGAACATTGAACAATGTAAATCTATTCTAGTAGACCTCAACAATGGAATTATGATCAGTAGAAATGGCCATGTCATGGGGCCTTTAACATTGCGGTTTTCAAAATCTTTTATATTTAGGAGCAATTCATAACTCCTCCTACAATCAATTATTTTTGACACCCTTAGGTGTAGCTGCTTATCCATGATGGATGTTATCTTACCCCAAAGTGCCTGTTTAAATTGCTTTTCAAGCCTGAACCATCTTTCTAAGCTGACATCTTTAATTCTATTGCTTCTGGATGTATTCACCCATCCTGGGCTCATATCCATCCTTCTCTGAACATGAACAAATGAAGGCCTTCACTTTTGAACACTGAATAGACAGATTTTCTGTTGGTGGGTTTCACAGAGTCTCGCCATGTGAAAAAGCAACCGTTTTCAGCATTAAAGGGACAAATGGCATGCACTCTGCTGGATAGAAACATGTATATATTCCACAGCAGGGCAAAGACTGCGGTCAGAGCCTCGCAGGGAAACTTTGAAACCAGATGGAGCCGATCCCACACAAAACATCATGAAAAGAACTGGGTGGGGGCGAGGGGGATTTGAGACAAACGCTGATGTACTTGGCAGTTTTCCATAAACTGATTTATTAGAGGGTTTATTAACATCACCGAACACACCTCCATGTTCACACAGCTCAAAAGCTTCTGTTTTGTACTGTAGGGCAGGAGTCACTTCTTGTTTGGGTTAGAAATTAGTCAATTAGTTGTTAGTATTTCCTGGTAGAGTTGTAAAAGATCAAAGAGGCAGCAGAGGGGCTTGGACCTCCTGACTCAACATTAACTCCATACAGAGTGTCAGAGCTCTGCATGTTGGTTCCTGGAGTATTTCTAATATTAGACTAGCCTCGGGATACTTCCGCTGAGCAACTCTCTCCCACTCAGACATGCTCCCACAATGCAAGATTGATATGCTTTGTCTCGGGCTTTCCAAGCAAGTTATGAGCCCAGGATGCCTTTTTACCCACAACAGCACTGACAGGTGGTGACAGGCCATTTTGAAACGTTTTGTGAGTAATAGTCAGACCCAAACTGCTACAGGGAGCCTCTCTGTGCACCTTTCATCGAGCTCATAATATTACATCCTGTCAGCAAGGGGCACACAGGTGAAGGGAAAGCTACAAAACATGCTTTTTTGTGAAGCAGGCTACATTTGTCATTGCTCTCTAATATATAGTGTGGACAGTGGTCAGCACGCATGTGATAAATGTTGCTCATGCTCTGTCACAGATCTCACCTTTTTATATAAGACAATGTTTGACAAGACTACTGCATGCACTGTGTGATAAAAAAAATAGGGCTGCAATGATTACTCTATACACTTATAATAGATTGATCTGAAAAAAAGCAAAACGTGACATCAAATGCTTATTTTGTCCAATTCATGTCCAATATATTGAATTTGCATTAACAGGAAACAGTACATGTTTTCCATTGTGGCCTTATAAACAGTACAGAGATGATCATAATTGTTTGCTTAGTTTCAGCACCATGTAATGTACAATTCTTTCTTTGTCAATAGTATTGACAAAGCAAGTATTTCATATATTATACATATTATATAGTATTGAAGCAATAGTATATGCTATGAATGTTTCCCCTTTTCCACTGTCTTTGGCCACATTAACACACGGGTATAAGAAAAAACTGCATACCAGTTGTCTAAATGAACCAAATACGATAAGTATACTTTGTAGGACCTAATTCAAATGGAAATTGGCTTTTAGGAAGTATGTTAAGTGAACTATCTGTGGGTGGTGAGCACAGCAGTAAGCTGAATTCATGAATAAAAAAAAAAAATGTTTTTCTCGTTCCAGCGTACACTCATATCCAGCCCCACTCCCTGGTTCAGCAGCACAAGCAGCAGCAGCAACAGCAGTTTGTGGTCCATCAGAGTCAAGCCTCCCAGAGGGCCGCGGGCCAGCTGCTGCAAACAGCCTCCATTCAACCGTCTCAGCACCCCGTTCCCGTGCTGCCCAAACCTGCTCCGCACCAGCCCTCCATGCCCAGCCAGCAGGCCACCATCTTCCACTCCACCATCAGCCCCCACACCCTCCACTCCTCCCTGAACCACGCCAAAGCTCAGCCCGTCCAGCTCACTGCCATCAACCTGCAAATACATCCAACAGTGAGTACACTCACACACCATGGTCTCAAACTAATGAGAATGATCATCACTTTTCATTTAAATGTTATGTATTTCATTTAAAGTGTTGCCAGCATCAATGATAAGGCAAAGGTCATATTATTGCCTGTAAAAGCTGGCCCAGCCTCACATTGCTTTGTTGAAAATGATCTACTTCATTTAAAAGTATTTGAAAAATTAATTAAAAAGAGGACAAACAAAGGTACAACTAAACTATAAACATTTCTCCTAGGATATATCTTTTTCCTGGTATCATATTATTAATTGTTACCAGAATTGCTTCTTAATGTGATTCATTGTATTTGTCCCACATTTGTTTCTTACGGGACAGGACTTTTGATCCTAGCATTTTGTGTTGCTCACTCTCTTGATTTTCCTTTATTTTAAAGTAAGCAGCAAAACAAAAGCTGCTGTTGCAACAAAACCCACACATTCCATTTCTACTCCAAGACATACATGTTAAAAAAACTGAAATTTTTGGCTTAGAGATTCCTGGTGTCATTTTTTCCCACTGGTGTGATATTTTCCAAGCTCTATTAGTTTTTAGCTCATGAGTCACTGACACTAGAATGACTAAAAGTCGCTGATCTGTCTTTTCTTCACTGTTGCAGATGTACTTTCTCATGTTTTCCTCTCTCCCTTGATAACCATCATAGGCCTCCCGAATGCTTCACGACAATAAAGATAAACCGACCTCACTGGTGGTCAGAGAGATGTGTCCACCCCCTGCCACGCAGCAGCAGCAACCACCACCACAACAGCAACAACAACAACAACATCGGCAGCAGCAGCAGCAGCAGCAACAACAACAACAACAGCAACAGCAACAACACCAGCAGCAGCAACCTCCACCTTTACCATCTCAACCCACCAAGCCTGTCGAGCAGCCCAAAGTCCAGCCACCCACACCAGCTGTCCAGCCACAAGGTAATGACTCAGCATGGAGAACTCAAAGGTTTCGGTAAATACACTTTAGTAAAATAGCCACTGGGACTAGGAAAAGTGGTTGAAAAAACGTTATCTTTGGGCCAACAAAACAGTTTATTTTTGCACCGCTCTGCTTGAGTTGGCCATCTATTTGAACTTTCAGTGACGGACCATAACATCAATGCTGGTGTTTACTTGTAATTCAGAATGTGTTGTGTCTGCAGCACATTTCGTTTCACTCCTCTCTGTCTCTTATTGCTTTGTTTTATCTGCGACTCATCTGAGATGCAGCCAAATAGCTCAGCTGATACCCACAATTCACTCAGCGCTGCTCAAACATTTAAACTCGACATAAGCCCTGAACAGCAGAACAATAATACACCCAGACTCATAATGGACCATTATTGTTTTTATTATGTTGTTGCCTGTACATTACATTGGAGACATTTGAGCACACTTGGTCACTGTTTTAGTGTATAGTATCGGCCTGGCTGTTGCACACAATGCAAGGGAGACTTCATGTTCATATTGTGTTCGCAACCATTTACAAACATGAAGGTCGGGGTAGAAAGTTTTGATTTAAGTTCATACAACAACACCACCACTAACTACAGCCTGTATTGATTGGTGTCAACAAAACCACAAAAAGATGATTAATTACATGGCTTTTTTTTTTATTGCATTAGATTTCGCAAGTTTTCAGACAAGATATGGTATATCAGAACATGGGGAGACTAAAATGACATAATCTTGGGTCATTTACAAAGAGTCACAGGACATGGATGTTGTTGAAATCCTGGTATTAGGGTTGATGCTCCACAGCTTAATTTGGACTTGCAGGTGTTTTACTTCTTTTTTTTTTTTTTCTTCACTGACGCTAAAGAACCTTTTCACAGTTCTCATGTTTCTGTCTGTTCTGGTGTGGGTGCAAGGTTAACATATACGATCAGCTGACAATTATCTGGATCAATCAGTGAACCTCTACTGAACGCTATAAGTTCAATATTTTGTAAACATCTATTCTCTTGGATTGCATTCGATTGTGTAGGTGTTCAGGCTAGTTTCTAAACTTAGGACAAACTGATTTGGAATGGGGAATGTCTCACATCCGTGAAAAGTTGCATTAATTCAATGTTTGTTCAATTTTCTGTATTATTTTTATGTGCACACATTGTAAGCAGGGTATTTGGATCAAAGATATAGAGCATGTTCGGATGTTTGGCTCGTGGTCAGAAGCTTTGAGTGTTAGTGTGTTACATGCTGAAGCTTGATTTTTCTTGCTGAGCACCAAATCATTTTGTTGTACTTTCTAAATGTTCACCCAGATTCAGTGATATTTCTCCTTAATGGTTGGAAATGGGGCTAATGTGGTATCTATTGTAAAACAGTGATGCAAACGAAGGTATGGTGAAAAAAGAGAGAACTATTTGAAGCAGAAAAAGAACAGCGTAATATACCATCTGACAAAGGCCTGTGCTATAATGCTTCAATTAACTATTCTTTATAATTTACTCAGATCAATAGGAGACAGAGATGTTAAGTTATAAATCAAGGGTTTTTATTATTATTTACAGCAGGGGTGGGGAACCTTTTTCCTTTACATTTTTACAACATCCTCCGAGGGCCGTACAAATTATTGAACTCAACCTCTGCTTAAAAAAACTAAAATCACAGCCCATTCATTTGGCCTTTCTTTCATGCTGTGCAAAGAAAAAGCAACCTCTTAATCCAGATATCTCACCATGACTCGCGCATGCATGTGCACGGTGTGGCATGACCACCAAAACAGAAATATATGGACACAAGATGTGTGCAAATGTATTTAGTATCCATGTGAACATGATTTAAGTGGGGGGGACCTAACCTTCTCTAG